CTTAATCAAAACCTGTCGAACTTAATTGATTTAGACGCCGCTCCAGCGCCGCACTTAATTCTTGCATTAGATTCGGCGCATGAGAAGTTCGCCGTCTAAACCGGGCCTAACTCGCAAAGCGATTTTCAGTAAAATTTATTAAAGCCGTCGTTAATTGGCATTTAAAGTTGACTAAATTTCTCATTACAGCCAGCTCCCGTATGGGCACATGCATGGTACTAAGCTGTTGGTCAACAACTAGCCTAGAAGATGTCGCTTCAAGCTGTAATGGATTGAAATGGTTTTTACTAAACCCTTTTACAAATCGCGATGTTATGGCAAACCTTATCAGGCGTGCCGAAGTCAATGGGTTTAAGGCAATCGTGTTGACCGTCGACATACCTGTTGTGGGCAAACGATACGATGGTTTCGGAGGCATGTTTACCGCCTCCTATTTCCCTAATGTGAAAGAAGCATTCAAATGCGAAAATTTGGAAAATCTCACCCCCAATATTGCAAATACAATTCACAGCTCACTGGCAACATGGGACGTCATGATTCCTTGGATAAAGTCGGTGACGTCATTGCCAGTGGTATTAAAAGGTATACTTGTCGTTGATGATGCGAAGTTAGCAGTGAAGTACGGTGCTGATGGTATCATTGTTTCAAATCATGGTGGACGACAGTTCGACGGCGCTCCAGCGACGGTAGACACACATTTTTGTATTCTTATCTTTCCATAGCTTTCATAATCTTGTCCAAAATTTATTAATTTTTTGACCAATCACATTGCTTAATCTTGTCACATAACGAGAATTCAAACTTGGTGTATCTGCTTCTTCTAAATATATGTTTATTTCGTCCTCCTTTAGCTTTAAGAATCAAATACCAAGTAATCCTATTTTAATAAATAATAAAACGAACAGATAATTATACCCATGCCTCGGCGTGAATATGGGTGAGCGGCTTGTATGAGATAAACATATTGATTTTATCTGTTATAAAGTTGGGGCAGGTATTCGGGCAATAAGACGAGTAAAGCCTTTTGTCCCATTAACGATAGGCCACTAAAAGCGCTATACATTGCCATTGTGCAACCTTACTTTCATTAGTGCCATCCGCACTATTGGAAAAGGAGCCTCAGCTACAGTGTTGCCGTACTTTGGAACAATCGTCCTTTTGAGGCAAAAACCACTGCATCGATGAGCTTCTTTTTCTTGTTTATTTATTTATTTACTTTGCCATCATACTTATACATTCATTGGCCGGGAAACCACAACAGTTATTGCCAATTACAGCGAACCCCCATTAGTTATACAAAAACAGTTTACAAGGTATACTAAACACACACAATCAACAATACTTGAACAACAGTCATCACTCATTCACACGCCCCTTATGTAAACCAGGCAACAGTTGATGAAATAGAGTCTATGCATACTGTATATGTATTTATGTATGTAAACGTTTGCAACCCAAACTGGTGGAAGCCAAAGAAGGCTTGAAAAGAAAGTGACGGAATTTCTTACAAGTTTTTTTAAATGCGTCTCTTAATGGTTGAAGATACATAAATAACAATTTTCCTTATTTTACACAATTGTTGAAAACAGAACTTTCTCTCTTTAGATAGAAGTCTTACCAGAAATAGTGTCAGCCGTCGCCAACGACATCGAGGTTTATATGGATGGAGGTGTGAGATCTGGTTCGGATATTTTCAAAGCTTTGGCTCTGGGAGCGCGTGCAGTGTTTGTAGGGAGGCCTATCTTATGGGGTTTGGCCTATCAGGTATGAATACAGGTAACTAATTTCGTTGACGAGGTTACTATAAGGGAATATTAATATTCTTCACGGAAGCAAAAATGTATGATTTGCTGTTAAATTATCATCACTTAAAAACACGTCTGCTTATTGAATAATAATAGTTCAGTTTAACTTCTTCAAAAAATGATGTTCTGCTTATGTTTTTGTCTTTGCTCTTTCGGCATTACTTTTTAATAAGTACTAAGAATCTATTCTCTAACCTGTAAACAATCGCTGGAAGTATTTTCATTGTGTTTTTATCCCTCTTATAGCGAATAAGCTGCTGTTTTCTCGTTCGGTAATTTTTTAGCCCCATCTTTTTTTTTTACTGGCAGGATGTGAGCTATTATCCTGCCAGTAGATAGCCAATCAAATTGCAGAATAACTCGTATCCGGTAGTTGTCTATATAATAAAGCCGGTTTTCCACTTCAAGTGTACCGTACCGAAACGTATCAAAAACGTTTCTAAATTTCAAAATTTCGTGAATGTTGATTGGTTAGTACTTCCGTAGTACGCCAAAAAGTTGACTTGTGACGAACTTTTCATTTTGATACGCGAACACACCCGGAAGTACGTGGATTTAGAAACTTCTTTTCAATCTGCGCATGCTCACCAGTACGTTTCGGTACGAAACGGGCGAAGTGGAAAACCAGCTTAATAGCTATTTTGCATGACGTACCAACAGGGACGTGGCGAAAAATTTGTCGTGGGGGTTTAAGAGTCGAAATTGCCTTATTAATTTTTATCTAATATAATATAGCCTTGCGAAGTTTGCCGTTTTTCAGTCATCTTGCATTACAAATGGGAAATTGATAATCAGTTTGATCATCTGATTATCAATTTCCCGTTTGTAATACAAAATGACTGAAAAACGGCAAACTTCGCAAGGCTATACTATCCGCATTTTACAACATTTCGCAACGAAACTTCGGAATATTACTAATTTTGCGATGCTTTTTCAAGCTGTGATGAAATTTTTGTCCAGACTTGTCTAGATCAAAATTTCACTTAAAAGGGGAAAGGTCTATTGCAAAATAGCCTGTTGGGAAATCCGCTCACCAATGAGTGAGAAACTCGATTCAGTATAGGTAATAGCATGGTTTCGAGTGCAATTTGGATATAACATGCACGAGTGAGTTTTTCAAAGACCTCGAAATAGGACGAGTCCGAAGGACGAGTGCTATTTGAGGTCTATGAAAAACTCACGAGTGCATGTTTATCCAAATTTCACGAGAAACCATGCTATTACTTATTAATAATTTACATAAAAATGTTCGAGACAATTGTAGTTTTAACTTACGCGTTTATAGCTAACATTCCACCGGCAAACTTTTCCTGGCTTTGTTATATCACATTATGCAACGCTAACAGCTTGAAAATTCCACAACTATGTAATTTTTGTTAGTCTTGTTTAAGGTCAATGCTTTTCCATTTAAAAATAAAGATAAAAGCCATATTTTTCACGCGAAAGCAACTTTTACTTTACTGTAGCGCGGCGCCATGTTTGTTTTGTTTCGGAAGCAATCTGTTACCGTTACTTCTTTAAACTAAATTGCTTTAAACTGATTGGTTGATTTAATCATCACAATGTTTTTCCACCAATCAGATCAGTTTGTTACAGATTTTTGCACTGTGATTACAGAAAATTGCACTGTTGTTTGGGATTAACTGCACTGAAATCAACCAATCACAGTCGAGTAATATCTTTATGTATATTATTATTAGCATTACAGCCATACAAAAGTGCTATAAAATATATAACCACGATTGAAGGTATGGTCAACAGGACATGATTCCCATGTGAAGACCAACCTGACACAAAACAACAAATAGACATACATTAAAAAGACAAGGACTGTCTGGAACACTATTTACATAACTATATAAAAATGAATAGGTTAGATTATCAGCAACAGCTTAAGTTGAAAGAACGACATTTAGAACAGTGTAGGTTTTCAAAGTGCGCATTCTGTTAACATCGAAAGGAAAGTCTAATTGAGAAGAGTAGTGAATATGGAGCTGGAGCTTAAAGGACGAAACAGACGAACTGTTACGAGATTGTTCCATAGAAAGATAGACAATGCGGTTAAAAAAAGAGTTTCAAAAAAAGAGAGGTTTTGCACGGATTGAAGCAAGTTGTCCTTGCTTGAACAGGTGCGAGACGAGCGATAGAAGTAACGGTACGTGACAAAAGAGGAGATATCTGGTTCGAACAGGCCTTGCTTACATTTGAAAAAAAAAGATGAGATCCTTTATTTCAAGCCAGTATAAGATATATGTAATAAATTAATTAAGTTTCCTAAGACGCTAATGTCTTTCATTTCTGACAATGGTAAACCTGCTTATAAATTTGAGTAATTTCACTCAAAATTTGAGTCACGGCATGTGAGTGGATTATTTGACCACAATATTCATGTAATTCGCTTTTTGTGAGATATCTCTTTCTAGCGGCCACCATTTTCTCGAGGTACGTTATTTTCAGCAATTTATAGAGGGGTTCGAACGTTACTTTCGATAAAACAGTGAAATTTTGGTTGCTAATATGAGTATATTCTATTCTTTTAATAAGGTTGTCCAAGATTAAAAGATATTCTCAATGAAATGGTTGTCCACGAATCGTTGTATCGGTCAAAGTTATGAATCTATTTTTACAGAAATTGAAGAAAATTTTACATTTCCGTCGACTCAAGCGTAAAATGGGGCGTGAGACTTGACAGCGTCGAAGTAGTTTATCGAAAGCCCCCATTTTCAGAAGGCTGGAACATTAAGGCGCTTGATTATTTGATAAAAATGGAAAATAATTTTTGTTAGGAGAAACTGAGCAAAATAAAATATGGCTATTTGCTTCTTGCATGGTGTGTTATTTTGCTTTTGAACGTCTATATTTGTAGCTACAAGTTTTTAAATAAAACTGTTTCTTGCCTTCAACGAAAGAATTTTGAAAACTACATGATGGCCCGCTTGTGAAGAATACTCAAATGATGTTTTCCCAGTGAAAAGTTTGCGGTATAAATATGCGACCCTGCATGTAAATTTCCTATATTTAATAAATATGCCTGCTCTGTTCTCGACTTTTAATATATCAATATCTGAAAATATATTGTACTGTCTTATCTTTGTGATATATACATTGTTTACAAACGCTTATGTTTTTTGAAGAATGCTCTTGTTTTGGCCATGCATATATTTAATAACTATTGATGGAGCTTGTTCGCTTTGGACACTAGCTACAACAATATTAGTGTATATTTGGTTTATGGACGTAACATTAATCAGAATAATACTGTCTTCACGTAGAAGGTCATTAAATTTTGCAGTGTGACAATGGGCATATTAGCTAGTGCTTATATTTTAAAACGTACACTATCAAAAGGTTTAATTTAAATATTTAAAATTTACTGAAACACAGAAGCGTGCTTTGTCTTCCTCATATTAGCATTTTATGATAATTAAATGTGTAGTTTACTTGCATATGCCATTTATGCACTTGTAAATGAGCAGGTACTTGAAATTTTGGGGTCATACTAAAACACAACGGCGTTATTTGTATGTTTAATTCTTCAGAAGAAGTCGCTCGAGGATGGAACCTTGTTATTTTATCAATTTTATATTCATATTTGCTGTGACCAAGCATATTCTTTTTTTCTCAGGGATATGTTTAAATTCCTTGGTCACTGTTACGCACTGTTACGCTTGTAATTTCATCCATTCCTTAAAATAACTAAAATATTGTCGATTAAAACGTAGAAAAATTAAAAATGCCTTTATTTCTTTAAATTATTTCATTACATAAAGTGCCTATAAAAAAATTGACATGTTATTGTGCGTTAAGTATTGGGTAATATTTTTTGTATCATTGCCTTATAAAAACTGAACTAACACGACCGGTTTAAAATGGACCTTTTTCGGCCATTGCATGATAATTGCAGACACGTATGTAACAGAATAATAAGAAATAGCTGTCAAAAGAATAATCAAATAATCAAACTGTACGAATAATCAAGTCTTGGCAAAAAAAATTAAAGATGATTTGACTCGCGTTAGACAAGGAAATTTTGCGAATAAAACATTTTACGAAATCTCCTTCTATACACTTTATTGCAAAATAAGATATTTACATTTAGCAAAAGGCGGTCGCACAGAGCACAGTTCCAATTGATTACGGCTAAACCTGAAGTTAGGAGAGAATTTGCAATGCCAGTTTCTCAAAATACAGGAACCACCGTTTGGGTAAATGTTTAAAAATTTTGACCGAATATTTTCCGGCAGGAAAGACAGAAAATATAGATATAATTTTCCGCCCGGTAATTTCAAGTCCAATTTTGCTATTTTTATTCACAATGCGATACCTTAAAATTAACTTGGAAAATATATTCGATTGTTTCAAACTCGCTAAATGAATAAACATATTTTAGAGAGAATTTAAAATCCAGAAAACTTCTTTCTTTGGAAAAATATACATGGCATTGAAATGATTTTAAATGTTCATTTCTTCTCACAACAACGCTTCTCATTCGTGTCGTATCATGTAAGTTGATGACAGTGCGAGAAGAAGACTAAAATTTCAAAAATAAGTTAACAGTCGAACATGTATATATCGACCATCTGTTGTTTGCCTGTCAGCAAGATAACTTAAAATATCAAAAGTATCAGTACGAAAATGAATGGGAATATTGAGCATCACCCAAGGACAAATAAATTTTTTTTAAATTTGGATAAAAAGTGGATGAGAAAATAGAAAATGTTTGTCTTGCTTTGCCGAACGGAGTAAAATTTAATGCGTAATTAGCCATTGTATAATTTATGCATGATATACATTGAGCGCATCCCTCTAGTTCTGTAATGATGTCGGGAAAAATTGCGTTTGTTTGGAAAATACTGCTTCTAACCACCGCTCCCATTAATTATACGCTCTTTGGTAGGTAGTGATTCTAATTTATTTTGGGCGGCAACGATCGTGACTGGCAACTCTCATCAATTTTCATTCTCGTTTGAGCGGCGTAAAAGTGTTTTATTGTCATAAATTAAAAACAGGTGTGACCACCTTGTCCGACTGCAATGCAATAATCTTCTTTTCAACCTTTCATTTTCTCAGGAATATGTTTAAATTCCTAATTGTATAATTTTGGCATGATTTTGTCCGCCGATTGCCGAAAATTGGGAATTATAGTCGAGGTTGATCATTGAGACCTCTATTGACCAGCCACGGAAAAGAGTTATATAAAGGTTCAACCGACGCCATATTGTGTGGTATTAGCACGTATGAAGATGAGAGCGCATCTCGCGCAAGCTTTGTTAGCTGTTTTAATGCTTTCCCAACACTATCATGCATTCTATTTTAGTTAAAACATAGTTTGAACACTCACCAAACCTATATTTTTTTAATCTAGAGCTTAAAATGTAGCGCAGTTCGTGACTGGCAACTTTCATCAACTTTTATTCTCGTTTGACTGGCGCTTAAGTATATCATCGTCACATACTAAACAGAGGTGTTACAACCTTGTGCGAATGCAATGCAACAATATTCGTCAAAAATAAAACGCAACAATACTCTTCAAATATTGTATTCTAAGTTTAATGCACAACGGTACGTGTTATTTCAATGTAGGTTAATCCTTCTGAAGAAGTCGCTGGAAAATGGAATCTGATTATTTTATCAAACTGATATTCATATTTGCTGTGAACGTATTCCTCTTTTTCCCGGGAATATGTTTTCCCTGGAGGTCCAACAAGGGTTCATCTCTTAGGGGCTGTTTATATGGAAGCGAGCCAGCCCGGGTACCCGAGCTGGCTCGCATCCCCGAGATGAATTTCACCACGCGTTTACATGAAACTTACATCAAGGGCTGGCTCTTCGTGTTCTAATTTTTTTTGGCGTAAACAACTCCATATATGGAAGTTGGTTCCTTATATGGGAGTTGTTTGTGCATTCTGAATTATTCTAATTATTTGCGCATGCGTATTTGCTGAATTTCCAGCCCTACTAGGAGGGCTAGCCCTCCCTGTTGCGTTTATATGGAAAACTACCCAGCTCGTTTACCCGAGGTCTCGGGTCACACGAAGCGGGACCTCGGTTAGGCGGGCCAGCTCGGTTCTCATATAAACGCAACATGAAATTTAGTAGGAAATATTAACAAAGATGGGATCCCGCCTAAAGCGAGCTAGCTTGGGTACCCGAGCTGGCTCGCCTCATATAAACAGCCCCTTATATTGATTCAGTGTTACTACTGGAGGAAACCTAAACTAAATTGTTTTTATTTATATTGCATGGATAGCTTTGTTTTCTTTAGTTTTAAATCAGTATGATGAACGCGTTCTGTTTTGTATATAACACGGCACTCTCCTGCGGGCCGTGTTTGTAGATCTTTTACTGTATATAACGCTGCTGTTCATGCGGTATTTCATATATACAAATTTCCCTGAGCTTGCAATGTACTTTATAAAAGATGAGACATTTTCAAACACATGAAGACACAGAAGCATGCGCTATGCCTTCCTCATATTACCATTTTATGATAATGAAATGTTTATTTACTTGTAGGCCTATATGTCATCATATCCACACACTTCAGTTTTTGAAATTGTTGTGATTTCTCTACGATGCGTACCCCTCCTACTGCATCCACAGTAAGACATTGCTTAGGCCCCTTTATGCCTAACTGAT